GAAAACAATAAAAAATAATATTTGAAAACAAATATTATTATCTTACACAATTTTGATTTGATCAATTCTGTTTACATTAATGTTTATCATTTTTTTATATTTTTATTTAGAAATAATGCAATTATTTTAGTAAAAGAACACATAGCAAAACGTGTGTGTGTGTGTGTGTGTATTTCTATGGATTTCTGGGCACTATGTGCAGAAAAAAGGGCACCAAAACGCTTAAAGGCACAATTGTCAATGCTATAACCTCTTGGTTGGCTGCCAAAATAAATCCAAGCAAATAAATGCTTATGTTTGTCGTGTGACAAAGGCCAAAGAGTTAACCTTGCTAGAAGCGAAATATTCACTGCCGCAAAGATGGCAGCCGAGTATGACTGATAGTGGTGTGTAGAATGAGAGCTGCTAATTGGGTGAGAGTCTCTCGCCAGCAGAGGATCGTCATCTAGAAGGCTTGTAATAATGACCCATGTCCCTCCTTTCCCCAAATAGCCTCCAAGACTGCAGAGCGCCGCAGTCCTGCTCAACAAGTTACCCGGCTGCATGTGACTCGCCAAATATAACCCGAAACCTACCACATCTCTGCTTGCCGGGAAGCTGTGCAGTCATCAAAGCGAAGTTATTTATAGGGCCAAAGAGTGTCTTTTGCAACAAAACAACATACTTGACACTGATTTAAATGACAGCCGGAAAAAAATTCGGTCTAACTCAGTCTCGCGGCAAGCTAACTCGCGTGGGCGGTAAACGTTAGCACGATCCCTCGCGAGCGTGGAGAATTTAATGAATTCGCAGGGTGCCGACCACAAGATCATTAGAACACAGCGTCTGGATTCTAAACAGCTTTTTTTTCTGTAACACCATCCAATTAAAGTGGAATCATGTTGGTAGAAGCTGACATTATGTTCAGAATTTTGCAAGAAAGGTCATATGCTTGTAGTGGCCTTTTAATCTCGCAGAAGGTAGAGGTACAAACAAATTGTGCTTGTTTTCAGAGAAAAGTTTAGTGAAACGTTTTACTGTTTGCAAAAAAATTGCACATGGGTCATTGTGTGTAAAAGAAGTACACTTCTTTTATTGTTCTTGAAGCGTGAAAGCAATGCCTAGTGAAAAAAAAACTTATAATAAAAGTGTATTATATGTATTTTAAAACTAAGTAGGCCTATAGTACAAAAACAAAGTATAGTACAAATCTATTAACACCACATTGAGACATATTGATATAAATATTATAATTGAACTTTATTTTGGAGTAGTACTTTTTGCAAAATACACATTCTTAATATTAAACCTAAAATATGTTTTAATATCACTATTGGGAAAGAATATAATAGTATGATCTCTGTATAATATCATTCTTTAAATTAAATATATTTAAAGTGTACCTGAAGTAATTGCAATAGTTCAATTTTACCACAATGATATATATATATATATATATATATATATATATATATATATTTAGTTGAACTTCCGCATTATTTCCGGATCACTAAAGTGCATTAAGTACTTAGTTGTTCCAATTTTAGCATACTTTAAGAATATCAATTTAGTACCAAAAGTACAATTACAGTGTATTTATATTAAATACATATATATGTAATTGTATCTGTAGTATACTTAGCATAAAATAAATGTATTTCAAATACATTTTTATATTTATTTTCACAAGAGCAATCTAGCAGCAGCATTAAAAAGTCGTTTACAAAACTGTACATTTTGCTAAAGAGGGGAAAATGTAATTCTGACATAATTTTCACACCTTAATGTCATTCCAAACTTTCCAAACTGAATTTCTGCTGGGGAACACAACACATATTTTAACATAAGCGTACATGATGAGAATCTTAAGTAAATGGTTATTTTATGGGCAAACTTTCCCTTAAAGCCATATCTGGGAAATATGATTATTGAATTTTGGACAGACAGAAATTTTGATTTTAAAAAGTCTAAAGAACATTATAGATTGTGGTAAAATCCTTTTCCTTTAACAACAAAGTTAACTGTGGTTGCATTACATGTCAGCCAATTGGCTCTTCCTGGTTCTTCTGGCTGGTTCTCAGCAGCACTGTGTGCCAGATCCAGATCGTATGCCAAACGTCTGGATATTCAAGACTAATAATAGCTGGGCTCAACAATAAGGATGGATCTGCTGGCCCGGGGCCGGTTTGACAGTGTTTCAGGTCAGATGACAGAACTGTCACAAAATTTTACACTCACTTGTACAACCATTTGTTATGCCTTGCAAACACGTAATGATTTGGTTGTAGTTTTCCATCAAAAGTACAGAAATTACGATTATCTTTTCTTCCATATTGTGACGTATTTCTGAGGGAAACAAGAAAATAAACGTACAGTAGGGCGGGACTTGATTTTGTCCATTGGGTATTGATTGAATTGTTGGACTGTTGTCATTTGATATTGGTCGATCTAATGTGAGTGAAGGGTTGCCCCCTAAATGATGACAGAATTTTAATTTCTAAGTTAACTGTTCCTTTAAAGGATTAGTTCACTTTTGAAAAAACTTTTGCTGATAATTTACACACCCCCATGTCATCCAAGATGTCCATGTGTTTCTTTCCTCAGTCGAAAAGAAATTAAGGTTTTTGATGAAAACATTCCAGGATTTTTCTCCATATAATGGACTTACATGGGAACCAGACGGTCCAAGGTCCAAAAGACAGTTAATAACTGTTACAGATGCAGCTTCAAATGTCTTTAAACGACACCAGACGATGAATAAGGGTCTCATCATGCGAAACGATCGGTTATTTCAAAACTTATTCTAAAAATGTAACTTTTCTAAGGACAAATGCTAGCCTTGCTCTATTCTGTGAGGCGCGTTTGTAATTGTAATTGTAATTGTGTTTTTGTGTTTGTAATTGAATACGTAATTACGTTCAAAAGGTCACGGGTGACGTAGCCAGAAGTACAGAGTCAGAGTGTTTACAAGTTGAATGCATAGGTTGAACGTGCAAACTAACTCAAACGCCGTTTACAAAAAAAAAAATTAAAAGGTAAAACAACGATGTCGGACGATTTTGATTCTGTACTTCCGGCTACGTCGCCCGTGACCTTTTAAACGTAATTACGTATTACGTGACGTTGCAAACGCGCCTCACAGAATAGAGCAAGGCTAGCATTTGTCCTTAGAAAACTTATATTTTTGGAATAAGTTTTGAAATAACCGATCGTTTCGAATGATAAGACCCTTATTCATCGTCTGGTGTCGTTTAAAGACATTTGAAGCTGCATCTGAAACTGTTATTAACGGTCGTTTGGACCTTGGACCGTCTGGTTCCCATTGAAGTGCATTATATGGAGAAAAATCCTGGAACGTTTTCATCAAAAACCTTAATTTCTTTTCGACTGAGGAAAGAAAGACATGGACATCTTGGATGACATGGGGGTGAGTAAATTATCAGCAAAAGTTTTTCAAAAGTGAACTAATCCTTTAAAGCTGCAGTCAGCCATTTTTACGCTTTGTCGCCATCTCTGTTCAAAATCTGCAATTGCAGTCATTCGCAGAATTATCAACTTTACGTGAGTTGCAGTTTGACACGGCACAGCGTGGATGAACACAATGTTTGAGGAGAGTGTGCAACTGTCAATCACAGCGCCAGTGTGGATACTGGCATTCAGAATCACAGATTTTTTTTTTTGAAAGTATGACCAACATAATCATTTTCACCGGAAAATGTCATCTGAACTAGTAAGAAACATCCACTTTTGTTAAGTATCCTTGTTTTCGCATGGGTCCGGTTGCAGTCTCTTTTTTCAGTAGCAACTCCGAAGTCCGAACAAAGTCTTTTGCATTTTACAGCGGGTGAATCTGTTGTCACTGGTGATTGTCGTTTGAATCTTTCTTGATCCGCCATCAAATTGATAAGTTTAATTATATCAAGTGCTGTGAGAAAAGGCTATAAATCTCCACCTCCAACATCCTCACACGCAATATAGCCTACTAGCCGAGACTCGTAATGACACAAAAATAGCTCAAATCTCCCGCAGAAATCCACCAGTACCACTGGAATTAAAACATTATTACAAGCTTACCGTTTTGAATCGAGATACGTCAAGCAGATAGTTTAAACACTGGCTGGTTATGCATTTTCTTTTTCTTTAACCCAAAAAAAGCTACGGACTGCAGCTTTAATAATCCTTATTGTTTTGCCCAAAAACGAGACCAATTGTGGACTTGAATAGGGAATTGTTCAGCAATTCCGAGTGGAAACGCTCCCAACCAGTGTGGACAAGATCCAGATGTCTATGGCACGGTACATCACTCAATCCATCACTGAACTGAAAAATACCCAACAGTGTCATGATAACACTCCAGTGAACACCACTGCAGAGGATAATAAATATTCATTCATTCTGTTGAATGGGCTTAATGCTGCTCTTACAGTCCCTGCGGCGGACCCAAGTATTCTCCTCCATCTAAGTGGCATGCATTTTTAATACTTTTTATCACATTCAAGGGAGTCGAGAAACAACTGTACGGCATTCAGGACCATTAACCACTCGAGGAGCCGAGATAACATTTGCGTTAACAGGTGTTAGCGTGCCTCTAGTGAAATGGCTCAACGGCTTAGGTAATTCAAATAAGCGGAACACGCAACTGCAATTTGTTGCTGGCAGTCAAATCTCACATAAAGCTTTTTCGGGCCGTGAGCAGAGCAACGATATAACCCTTGGCCGGTGGCATTGAGAAACAAAGGATAAAATCAATAATGAAACAGTATCGTTTTCTCAATACGTTCGAGCATGTCGTGATTGAACCGTAAATCACACTTGAGATTGCTGGGGTTGGCCATACGTGCCGTCAGTCTACGGTTGAACATTCAGAGTCATTCCCATGAGACCAGGCCCACACAGAGGTCTCCGATCTTTTTTTCTAGTTCCAGCTGCTGCCGGGTGACTCGATGACGGGTCGGTCACAAAAACACGTATGCAAAATGGATCCAGCCCACACAGGCAGTGTCCTGCTTTGGTTTACTCACCCTTTTGCCCTCTTTCCCTGGTGCTCCTGGTTGACCGGGCAGGCCAGGATCTCCCTGGGGAAGATGGGTAATGGATCAGGAATCAGGTTCTCAGAAAACATTGCAGGCTAGTCTGGATCTTGCTGTCTGTGGTCATAATTGCCCTCAAAAAACATGATTTAGATCCAGAAGCAACATTGATGTGAATATGAGCACATAACAGCTGGCTCTGCCTGGACGGGTTTACGTGTCGGCGCTTATTAAAGTGCTGAGAGACAGATGTTCAAACGGCATGGCTGAACTTCGTTATGGTAAGCAAAAATAAATAAATATTTAATTTATAAAAAAAATGCTGCTGAAGCGCTTACCTTTTCTCCAGGAACTCCTGGGGGACCCTGCAAAAAATAAAAAATAAAAAATAAAAATAGACAAATTTGAGTGATTTTTAATATTCAAATAAAACAATTGGTGTCATTAAGATTTGTTTTGTTTTTATCTCTTATGCATATCAAAACTGTATTTACTTGATATAAATACAGTAAAAATAGTAATAATATGAAATATTACAATAAAACAACATTTCTATATTAATTTATTTTAAAATATATATTTTTACTGTGAAAAAGCTGCATTGGTGTCATGATCTTCAGACATAATTTTGATATGCTGATTTTCTGCTCAAGAAACATTTAGTTAATAGACAATTCAATTATTTAAACAATTCTGCTAATTATATATTAGGGATATCATGATATTTTTTTTTTCATTCCTTTAAAGAATAGGGAGTTCAAAAACACCATATATAATGAATCAGTAAAGACATTTATAATGTTGTAAAATATTTTTGATCAATTTAATCCACCCTTGCTGAACATAAGTACTATTTTCAAAAAATAAAATAAAAAAATAGGCAACTTGTAAGTGTATTTGGTGTAATTGGAAGTGCGAGTGCTTGCAACGCAGCAACAGAATAGTGTTAAAGGGAACATGAAATGCATTTTTTTTATTTTTTATAATGTTTCCTGGTGTGCACTTTTAATGTTGGTTTGATTTTTACATCAAAAAAAAAAAAAAAAAAAAAAAAACATTTCCTAGCCAGATTTTAGCCTCTGATTTAAACATTCTGTTTGAAAAGCCGTGTCTGCTGTGAGACTTCAGTGTAAACGCCCCTGCTGTGATTGGCTGACATATTTGCACATGAAATAAGTATTAAATGTGGAACTCCCTCAAAAACTTTTAGCATGTTTTTACTATTACAGCTCTCAAGGTTAACTAATTTTGAAGTGTTGATTATAGCATTATATTTACATTGTAATGAGCATTGTAACCGATCACAGATATATTGAGTGAATGAAAGCAGTGATCTCATCATTGCAACTCAATTTCAACACTCTAACGAATACTTTCATCATTACAAACAGAGCAAACCATGGTGTAAACACAATGTAAGTAAGAGATTTGTTGATTACAATGGGCGTTTTGGAGAGAACTCAGTCACTGATAAACTCAAGATGTTTGATTGACAGCTCCAGCGATTGTAAAGGAAAAGGTCTTTAATGGCTTTCTATTTGTAATTGAACGACAGTTTAAATAACAGATTATTTTCACCCTACTAAGAAAAACTATGTGAAGTTGACCATTTAGTCACTGGTTTGATTTACTGACACATAGACAAAGAACATCTGACTGTACATGAATCATTACATATCAGAAATCACTGATCACAGATCAGGCATTAGAATTAACACTTACACGTTGTCCCATTACTATCAAGTCCATATCGTAAAAGTATGTTTGCTATATATATATATATATATATATATATATATATATATATATTATTATTATTGAGTCAATACATTAAGCAAATTGAGTTGAATTACGTATATACAGGAATATCTCAAGCAGAAGCAGACCAAGTGTTTTAATACAGGCTTTCGCTATGAATCATCAAAAATTCCAGGAAAAGGCAGGAAAGGGAGGATATCAGTAGTGAGGGCTGCCTTTCAAGCACTATAATAAAATTATCATGAAAAGAAACAAACTCAAATCTGCACTGCTACATGCTGGCATTCAGTTTCAGAACACAAATGAAATGCGTTTTTACCTGTTCTCCTTTTTGATCTTGCTTTTCAATCTAAGAGAAAGCAAAGGGGAAATTATAATAATGTATTTAATCAAACAGATATGGAAATTAACTTCAGCTGTCAATAGTGTTAAAACAAAGGTCAGGAACCAAGATATCTTTACAGGACATGGCCCAGTAAAAGGACAAAGCACATGACCATCACATACAGACACACAGAGATGGCCTTTCAGATGCAGAGTGAAACAGTGTGGTGTTCTCTTACAGCTGGCATCCTCGAAAATACTAACACATCTTAGAAACAGCTGCAAAAATAGCCATTCATTCCTAGTGTCTGGTGAAAGTCAGAGAACAAGAGCTTTCAAAGCTCCTAAAACTGTCAAAATGTAACAGGGGAGGGAGAGTGACGTGTTCGTAAATGAGAGCGACAGATGTCTACACTGGCAAGATCCATAAAAGAATATAAAATAACCTGAAACACTGATAAAATCAGAAATGTCAGCTATAAGCTATGTGTTTAAACCTAAATACAGGAGAAACTCGAAAAACTTGAACCGTGCAAAAGTTCATTTATTTCAGTAATTCAACTAAAAGGGTGAAGGTAATACATTATACAGACTCATTAGATGCAAAGTGAGATATTTTAAGCCTGTATTTGTTATAATTTTGATTATGGCTTACAGCTATGAAAACCTTTCTCAATCTAAATTTGAATTCTGGGTTTTCATAACTGTAAGCCATGATCGTTAAAATTATAACAAATAAAGGCGTGAAATATCTCACTTTGCATGTAATGAGTCTTTTTAAGCTGAATTAATGAAATAAATGAACTTTCGCACGATATTCAAATTTTTCGAGTTTCACCTGTAATTCAAGCCGCTTGTTATAATGTACTACACGATTTACAACTTGACTATAAGAGGGAGTGGTGATGCGGCGAGTGTGTCGTCGGCTTTCACGTTTGCATCCCTGGTATTCCTGCTTGTCCTCATAAAATGTAAAATTAGCATGAGTAAATAACTGTTATGCACTGATACAGTTCCGTTGGGGTTAGTTTGCTGTTTAGGTTACATAAAGGGGCATAGCTGTTGTACTGTATCCTAACACACAAAGCTGGAGTAGTTATATGTAGCAGATGTGAATTATTAGCTTCCTACTTACAGGACATGTCTAACCTCCACAGTCTGGTTGTTCTGGTCGCCCCTCTCCTATGCCTCTTATTTGTTTTAGTTGTGAAGATAAAAAGGTGAATGGCGTATTTAGTGTATTAAAAAGTAGCCCTAAACTATTTTTAACTTTAGCAACGAGTTAATAACGCGTTTTAATATAACGCCCTGTTTGAGCACCTTTCTCATATCTGTGTCGGCGATAAAAAGTCAACCATTCCCTAAAACCTTAGCAAAGACTCTCCATAAATCTCATTTCAGTGCTTAATGCAGATTATGCATATCATGTTTTATATGGATTTTATTCAAAAAGAGCCTGTGTCAGTATGTTGAGCTCTGGAATGAATTGAGATGCGTACCGGCAATGTTCCTGAAACCGGTGTGCCTGGATCCCCCTGTAACAGAGACACAATCACAAGAGTGATTATTCTGATTATCGCTTTTGTCTTCTGAACACACACACACACACACAAAAAATATATATATTTTGAAAAATTTTGATGGACCCCATTGACTTCCATAGTATTTTCTTTCCCCCATAGTATTTTTCTTTAAACAATTGTTTGTTTACCCATATCTATCTATACATTACAGTAACGTCTGTCTGTCTGTGTGTCTGTGTGTGTGTGTCTGTCTGTTAATCGCATATCTCTTGAACCGTTAGTCCAATGGATCTCAAACTTGACCAGTGTCTTGCTACGCGGCACGAGTAAGTGCAGTGCCGAGTTTGACATTGTTTGGATTAGAAATGCAAAAGATATCGCTAAATATATCGCTAAAAGAAGCAAACATTGGCCCTCATTTATCATTCTTGCGTAGAAACGGGCGTATATGTTGGCGTAAGATTATGCTTACACTCCTCTCACCGCCTGATTTATGAAGCTGTGCGCAACTTTGAAATCCAGGTGTACGCAATGCCCTTGATAAATCCCGCGGCCCGAAAACGATCGGCATTTGAATAACCCGCCCCTAAATATTCAATTCTGTATAAGCTAAGACTATTCAAGCCCCACGCCCTCATTTTAAGCCATGGACACACGGAAGACGGCAAAGAAGAGAAACTTCTCCAACCATGTCTCCAACGTGGAGCCGAAATGAACATGCATTGTATTATTCATCACAATGACATCACAATGCATTATTTTACAGCACGTCTTTTGAATTAGCATTCAATTTCGAATCACGTCACATGTATAATAGTGATGATGATGATGATGATGTGATGTGAAGTAGCCTACGATTCACATTAATAATTGCATATATAAATGAAAATTTGTAATATTCTTCTTATTATGATTTGTATTAATGACGGTTATTGTTATTTACAAGAAGAATGTCGGTATTATTATTTGTATTATTATTATCATTTAAAATAAGAAGAATGTATTTTTTTATTATTTTGTCAGTCTGAATTATTTTTTGGTCATTGAAAGCCTTTCATTAACGAACCCAGTCTGTGCGCACCTGCCGGGTATAATCCTGACACGTCAGGGTAAAGCGTACAGGCTCGCAACTGAAGGAATACATATGCTTACAAATCAAATGCTTTGGTAAAGTCACATAAACATTGAAATCCATGTTGCACAAAAATAAACACTGTCAAACTGTTTTTTCGAGTTTTTTTTTTTTTTTCAGCGAGTTTTCTTTTTTTACAGTGAGTCATAATATCATATCTTTTAGTTTGTCCGTGCATTTTGTGGTGTTAGAAATTTTTCTGCGCGTTTCCACACTAACTCAAAACGTGCGTACACCACCTCCTGAGCTGGTGTAGGATTCGAGTGTGCCGTACGCCAACGTCCATATTGATAAATCTCAAAGTCACCATGGTTTTGGGTGTACGCTGGAAATTTGGTGTACGCACTTTTGATAAATGAGGGCTTTGCCGCTCTAGCCGCTGGCCACTCCCCCTCTCACGCTGCACACTGAGTGGGCACAGCGCAGGACCAGAGACAGAGGGACGAAGAAAGCAGATTTGCTCCCTGAATCGTTGCGCTTTTTCATTTGAGCACTCAAACACACAAGCCAACAATTGCTAAAAACACACAAAAACTGATTTTGCACGGGCTCTTTGCACTAGTTATTCTAATGGTGCGTTCACACCGGACGCGAATAGTGCGTCAGGCGCGAATGATTTTAATGTTAAGTAGGGCTGTGCAAAAATTAATTGCGATTAATCGCATCCAAAATAAAAGTCTGTGTTTACATAATATATTTGTGTGTGCTGTATATAATTAATTTGTATATATAAATGCACACACATGTATGTATATATTTAAGAAAATGTGTTATTCGTATATAAAATATTTATATTTATATAATATAGATTATGTATTTATATACATATACAGAATTTAAGCACAAATAATTCTTAAATATATACATGCATGCATAGTTATTTATATTTGCAAAATAATTATATACAGCACACACAAATATATTATGTAAACACAGACTTTTATTTTGGATGCGATTAATCGCAATTAACTTTTGCACAGCCCTAATGTTAAGTCAATGCAAAGACGCGTTAAAAAATTCCTGCGGCGCGAATGAGGCGTGGAGTGTGGCGAGGAAGACGCGAATACGCCTCGCGCGAATTGAGCATCTGGCGCGTTAAGCGCGTTTTACGCGCAAATGATTTAGTTAGTGCCATTTGTGCATTCACGCGTTTGACGCGAATTCGCGTCTGCCGCCCGAGTTGAAAAGTCTGAACTTTGGCGTGAATTCGCGCCGCGTTAACCAATCAGGAGCCTAGCTGCTTGCTGACGTGGTGAAGTGTCTGGATGCTTCAATAAATTATTTTGTAATATGACTAAATGCCTAGTGTGGTTCTAATGCACAACAAAGCAAATATTTTATCACTTAAAACATTATTTCTATATACGAGACATTTTCATTTTGTATTGAATGTTATTCATTCCATATCTAGATTATATGAAATACTATTATGATGTAAAGACAATCAACATGTGCTTAAGTTCGTGTTATCAACTTTTGGAAGCTGGCTCTATTTATCATCAAAACAAAAATAAATGACAGCTAGATTAGATGGATGAGGGCGAGGGTGATCCTTGCTCCGATGCGGAACAACAGGTCATCAAACTGGGCGCGGGACAGGTGGAAGTACCGCTGACAGCGGCCATCATCCAGGGCAGCGCTTGAAACTAGCCAAACGATTCACCTCAGAAGGGTCCGGAGGACACAAATATATGGCGACGATGATCCCCACGCCACTGTTCTGCTCACGGTGCCGCTCTGTATTTACTCTGGAGAGCAGAACAGTGGCGTGGGGATCATCGTCGCCACTCTCTCGATGAATGCTCGGTCGACATAAAAACAATGGCCGCCAACGGATTCCGATTCTGACGCACGTAAATTTCGCTTCAAACTTTTTTTTTTTTCTTTACACACATCAGTTTCACTCTTGACACGCGAGTGGTCAAGCGTCAAACTAGTCACGCAGGCGCGAATTTGACGCGCTATTCACGTCCGGTGTGAACACATCATAAATACATAGTCTGTTTTCAGCAGAACAAAGGATTTCAACACGAAGGTGAGTAAATGATGACAGATTTTTCATTTTTGGGGGAAATATCCCTTTAAGTTGGTCCTTTTGAAGGCATCAACTCAATATTTAATGAAGCGCATAAAAAAAGACCTGGACCGGAAGCAATTCAACCTGTTTTACAGAACGTGGAAGTTAGTTCCACTAAAGTTGGCTGCGCTATGTAATTATTTAAAAATGATCTGTAGGCCTACTTTGGCATTTTTTTAAAGAAACATGTTCTTCGTAAACCTTAGAAGAAAGTCAGTCATATGGGTAGAGGATGACAACATTTTCATTTTTAGGAAAACTATTCCTTTAGGAATAACTCTGTAAGCCATATCTGAAAAATATTTGTCAAAATAAAACAAGCTCCTGTTCCTATGTGCTTATATGCTCTTAAATAAAGGACTTTCGTATTTTCAAGGTTATGAAATACAAGCGGAGACATCAGTTTAAGTTAAAAACCCCTTGACAAAAACATGCAGAGCTTTCCACAAATTCAATTTAAATCCACGGAAACTCCACATCAAAGTTTTGCTGAAATATAAAGTTGCGAACACCTAAAGCCGGCCCGTTTGAAGATATTCTGAGTCATATTCTATGTTTGAAGAGCGTGACGTGTCTTTCCGACTGTCAGTTTCAATCCAGACTAACGGTTTCCCTCCCTCCCTCCCTGACTGGGAGACGAGATGAAAAAGAAGTTATTCTCTGCTCGAACGCAGAAGAGCTCATTAGGACTTCAAGGCTTGAAAACACTGCATTGACAATTACGTGCAAGCAGGCAAACAAAGAAACCCAATACTGTAAAAGACAATGGGTAATATGGTAGCTAATTAGAGAATAACATTTGATCTATTGTTGGGAAAGAAGTCCCGCTGTGGGCCTTCGTGCGCCTGGTTTGGGGAATAAGATATCAGAGCAGGAAGCTCTATTCTACATTCAGAGTCACGTCTTCCCTGCTGTGAAGGTCTGTCTGTTCTATCAACAGCATCTGTGACACATGGGCCATTACCTCGGAAAATAATACATTTGTGAAAACAAACATAAGTTGTATTTACAGTACAGTGAAGCACTTAAAATGGCAGTCTATGGGGCAAGTCGTGGCACTGGAGCTTGAAGCAAACGCAGCAAAAAATGTTTTTGTGAAATTCATAATTTTACAGTTTGTTTGTTTCTTTTTTACTAAAACTGCACACTATGCTGCAACATATATGCAAAACAATTGTATGAATAGTATTATTATTAAGCCTAAATATTAGCCTGGATGCCAGCCTGAACTCTGCCCACAACATTTTTTGGTCGGGAAGTTCCGTCTGGACAGGAGAAATTACGATCAGTCAAAAAATGATCGGGCCAATCAAATTGCCAGGGCGGGCTTCATACGATGATGGACAGGTGATCTGCAAGGACGTAATCATCACGTTGTCAAAGAGCGCTAACTGGTTTCCCTCAAAGAAGACTGCAGCTGAAGAATTGAGATGTATAGATTCTGCTGTTGTGAAATAAATCGACAGCGCATTCATTTTAATAGACAAACAGAGAACAGCAATCAAGGCATTTGTCGATCGGAAAGATATTTTTGCCGTCCTTCCTACATGATACGGCAAAAGTGTTACTTATCATCTGGCTCTGATGGTCGCTAAGAAGATGGGACATAATGAAAAGCCTGTGGTCGTTGTGGTTTCTCCTTTGGTCGCACTCAAGGAGGACCAAGTAAAAGAAGCAACACTTGTTATTTAACTTCTAAGTTAGGCTGCGTTCTGTTGTAGACAACTGTATGCAAAGTAGTTCACTTACTGCGTTGCTCTGATTGGTTGTAGGTTTACCGACTATCAAATTGAGTGCAGAGTTTTTTTTTTTGTTTTTTTTTTCCTGGTTCGGTTAAGACACGCCTCATAATCAAAGCCCTATGGAGCAGTTTCAGACTCATATTCCGACAAGAATATGAGTATGACGAAGTCAGGCTACCTAAATATAGCAAAATGTAGGAATATACAAAATGCTTTTTGGGGTGAGAAAAAACTATTTAGGATGATACACTCTAAAAAATGCTGGGTTGTTTTAACCCAACTTTGGGTCAAATATGGACTAACCCAGCCGTTGGGTTAAATTTTTACATTACATTTTTAACCCAACATTTCGGGTTTGTCCATATTTGACCCAAAATTGGGTTAAAACGACCCAGCATTTTTTAGAGTGTATGTTCTCAGAACATAAACATTAAAATGTAAAAATAGAACTTCACATTACAACGTTGAAACGTACAATGCCTTGTACTATATGGTACAGTATATGCTTTAATGCAAACATCATTTTTCATCGTTTTTACAAATAAATTGAAATTATGAATAAAACACATGCCACAGATGCTGCCAATAGACCTTAACCTCTTTTTTTTGTAATCTGAAAACACTGCTTTACATATTTATATGACACATATACAACATTCTCTTGCTTGTTCATCATACATTATTTTTCCCTGTCACCATATGTGTCACCATATATGTGACTTCCAGTAATAAAATTGATTCCATCTCACAAAACTGAGCAGCATTCTGTGTGCCTGGTTTACTGAGCCGTTTACTACATGCTGCACTCAGCACAAGCAATATAAGCTACATTATCAATTATTGGATATAGACATGTTTCCTTGCACAATCAGTGGTTATGGTTCTTCTATGGTTCTACATTCTGCAACCAATGACTGATTCAAACAGCTACTGTAGTGACAAGATCTGTGTTGACTTGGATGAAATATTGATCTACATACATGCACATGCATACAGTACATACATACAATATATTTACATATCATCCCCTTGGAATTATAAGGTTCTATCTGACATTTTTGTCAAAATTGAGTTATTCACATTTTCTTATTCTGTGGCAATTTATTTACATTATGTGATGTGTTTTGTACATTTAGGATCCCTTTTGTTTTTATGTTTGAAAGAAACATGTTCCCCATACACATTTTCCTATATGGAATGCAAAAACTTTGAAGCTCAATATCTCAAAACTGCTCAGAACGCAGATAGAACCTTATAATTCCAAGGGGACGATATATACATTATATATATATATATATATATATATATATATATATATATATAATTGAATGCTTGAATTTGATTGGTTGATGAATGTTATAAAGTGTGCAATTATTTTCAGGGAAACGCATAGCGAAAGTAGTTCCAGACAGGTCTTGGCCAAATTACAGTTTCATTACACTTCGCCAAATGATTTCAGTTATTTTAAAGGTCGTTACCGCTGACACAATGACACCGACCGATATATATATATATACAGTATATATATATATATATATATACATACACCAAACTATCTCTGTTTTTGGCCACAAAAGTAAGGTAATTCACACACGCTAAATCAAGCAATCAATCAATTGAAATACATCATCTAAACAATGTATTGATGTGTGGTTACCGTAGTATAACCGGAATAATACGCCTTATTCACGGCAGCGCCATCTTTGATTTGAGAATGAAAGCGAGGCTGTGAGGGATAGACATGCATCTCTTCAATGGGCTGTATTGTTATTTAATGTGTTTTCGGATTGCTCTGCTCATTAAACACTGGAAAAAAATCTTTCCAAGAAATGTCAGTTGACAAAAAACTCCCGACAACGTAAGCTGTGGAAAATTGTAAGTAATCTAGGAGCTTTATTCAGCTTTTTACAGCGGATGCCATTGTAAACATAGTAAGTCTATCCCTCACAGCCTCACTTTCATACCTGTCATGGCGCTGCTCTGAATAAGGTCTATTGACTCTGAATTATTAGAAAGTAATGCATACATCAGGTGATTTTGATGCTCATTTCTCTCTGGATTTGGTCTTGTCCACATAACATGTTAAGTCAGTGTCAATAAACACTGTTATTTTCATAAAACTATCAAATTAAACTTAACATAACTATTAGAGACATATTTGATATTTTTAACTCCATGTCATTTTTTTAAAGTTTTTGAAAGCAGTTTCTTATGCTCGCAAAGCTGATTTTATATTAAAATACAGTAAAACCAGTAATAGTGAACAATTTAAATATATTAAAAAACATTTATTCCTGTGATCAAAGTTGAATTTTCAGCATCAATACTCCAGTCTTTAGTGTCACATGATCCTTCAGAATTCAACGGCATTTTCAACGGTAGCGTTGGTAAACGGTAAAAAAAAGTATCAGAGTGTAACAACGAACGTATGTCCCATTCATCATCATTATATTTGTAATGGGATATACATAAGAAGAAAATGAAGAATTTACATAAATAATATAAATTGTACAATCTAAAATTTCAATATGTAATTTTCTCTAAAAGCAAAACGTTTCCGGTAAAATCCAGAATTCATCTTTGTCCCTCATTTTCTGTTCAAAGCTATTATGCAGACATTTCTGACGTCATATCTGAGTTCCAACAAATAACTATTGACATTTTGCAAGAATGTCACCACATATTTATGGGAAACCAATATACAATATCTGACTGCTAATCTGCCTATTGGTGCTGAAGGAATATTTGGCAGTTATGGTCCCTGTTACATTGGGCCTTAAGTGGGATAAATACGTTTTCTAAACTTCAGCAATGACATTTTCAAACTTTAAAATGTTAAAATGCTAAAAAAAAAAAAAAATAAGTAAATAAGTATATTGAAAATTGTCAGGCACAAATGGCAGTTTCCTAAGAATGACTCACACACAGATCCACGGAAAGCTCACTGACTAAAAAAAACATCCTTAAGATAGTAGATACTCAGCCTCTATCTCTCTCTATGCTACAGTTTGTAAAGGTTGTTACAAGAAATCAAACTGGCAGGGCGACTTACTTTATCACCTTTGAGACCGGGTACACCTTGAGGTCCGGGATCCCCTTTCAAACCCTGAGGAGACACAACGAACAGGAACCAGTTTAATCACAGAGTCCGCTACCTCACAGCATCCTGACAGGACAACTTAGGGGAAATCTTTCCAGTAAGCAAACAATGCATCAGTCTGACTTCCCTCAAGTTAAAGGATTCAGCAGAGAGCCGCTCCAGGCATCTTTTAGTAAAAATCATGCAATATGTGTCGGTGAAGTGGCAAAAATGAGTGTCTCTGGGTGTTAATGTGGCCTCATTTACATGACAAATCTGCTCACTTCTGCACTTTTCAGTGAATGATTTGCACAACTTGCATATAGACACAAAAACACGCTCGCTTTCACAAGCCCTCCGTCTGGAGTTGGGATTAGAATTCCCTTCACCTGCCTGCGAGAGCTTTGCAAGGGGAAATCTGATGGGAGATAAGGCAGAACCACAGGCAAAGTCAAAACTCGTAGTGCTTAAAAGCATCAGAGAGAGAATATGTGATGAAAAAAATAAAGAGGAACACAAGAAGGTGAGAGGGGGAAAACCATCTGAGAAAAGGTGGCTGATAAATGAGGCCTGACACATATTGACAGGTTAAATTTACAGGGACTCTTGTTAGGTGTGACACATCAGGACCTGCAGCAACACAGAGAGAGATTTCTGAAATAAGTCAGAGGGTACTTAGAGAGAAGGGATCACTGGCCCTCAAAACACAGCAATTTGTCTTAGTTAGGCTTTCGAGTGAGACTATTAATATTGAATTATATCAGGCTCAGATGAGCGCCTTGCCCTTTTTTAATCATGTCTCTGAGTTCGCGGATGGAGATGCGACTAATTTACTCTTAGGATGGCGAAGCTTGTCGAGACAGTTGAGGGAAAGCTCGGTCTCGAGGACCCTAATCTCGAGCTCGTCTCCATAAAACAAGACCAATACAAATAAGATGCGTAAATCTGGCAAACCTTCTTTCACATCAGCCGTCATACTATGAGACTCTTTTTGTGAGAATGATGATATTGAGGCTTTACACACACACACACACACACGCACACAAAAGTTAATCACAATAGAATATTTATTTTAGATATGTAATCTTAGAACTTCACATTCTCTGGCACTATTTAGAACAACAGCCAATGAAATTGCAAGAGAACTCTTGCTTGCTAATTGGGGTCAGGAACACACCTGCTGAGTGGTCTGCTGATTTAAAAAAAAAAAAACACAAAACTAAACAAAACGAACGAAACTAAACTAAACTAAACTAAACTAAACTAATCAAAACTAACTAAACTGAACTAACTAACCGAAACGAACAACGGAGCAAAAGAGAGAAAGAGAAAGACAAAGAAAGAAAGAAAGAAACTAAACTAAACTAAACTAAACTAAACTAAACTAAACTAAACTAAACTAAACTAAACTAAACTAAACTAATCTAACTAAATGAAACTAAACTAAACTAACTAAACTAAACTGAATGAAACTAAACGAAACTAAACTAAACTAAACTACGAAACGTAACGAAACGTAACGAAACGTAACGAAACTAAACTAAACTAAACTAAACTAAACTAAACTAAACTAAACTAAACTAAACTAAACTAAACTAAACTAACTAACTAACTAACTAAACTAAACTAATCTAACTAAATGAAACAAAACTAAACTAAACTAAACTAAACTAACTAAACTAAACTAAACTAAACTAAACTAAACTAAACTAAACGAAACTAAACTAAACTAAACTAAACTAAACTAAACTACGAAACATAACGAAACGAAACGTAACGAAACATAACGAAACATAACGAAACTAAACTAAACTAAACTAAACTAAACTAAACTAAACTAAACTAAACTAAACTAAACTAAACTAAACTAAACTAAACTAAACTAAACTAAACTAAACTAAACTAAACTAAACTAAACAAATGCATGGGTGGAGCAAAAGAGAGAAAGACAAAGACAAAGACAAAGAAAGAAAGAAAGAAAGAAAGAAAGAAAGAAAGAAAGAAAGAAAGAAAGAAAGAAAGAAAGAAAGAAAGAAAGAAAGAAAGAAAGAAAGAAAGAAAGAAAGAAAGAAAGAAAGAAAGAAAGAAAGAAAGAAAGAAAGAAAGAAAGAAAGAAAAGAAAGAAAAGAAAGAAAGAAAGAACAGAAAGAAAAGAAAGAAAGAAAGAAAGAAAGAAAGAAAGAAAGAATGAATTACATTTAATAAAAAATACAAATAAAAAATAGACACTATAGTGTATACCGTGCAGCGTTTCGAATTATTATAGAAAATATAGTATATTTAGATTAGTACCCTTAATCCAGCAAGCGATTGCATTTCTACATCTATCGTTTCTTGACTAAACTTTGACTGAGGCCATAAAAGATAGATGGAAGTAAGCAGGGATGTAGTGGAGGCTAAACGCATGTAAACGCCTCTTACGCACCTCCCAATATTTGGAGATAGCGTTTACCCACCTCAAAAGTGCGTTTATCCACCTCTAAATATCCTGTAGTTCCTAAGACATTTTAATTTAATCTAATGTCGTTTTAGTTTCATATTTTTCATTATTAGTTTCATAGGTTGTTAAACGGCTGCCAACTTTTGAATTTAGCTTGGCGTGAGACTTCTCCAACGGGGGGGTGGGGGCAAGGTCTCTCGCTCGCTTACCTCTCTGCCATCGTGCGCATGCGCGGTTAGGAGCTCAACATCTGTCTAGCATGCAGGCTCGCCAGATTACAGGACATCTTAACTAATTTGCAGTAAAACTAGTTGATCACGAGTGGCTCAACAGGTAGATCTATAGATAAACTCATCTTTCTGGAATTTGACCGACCGGGTTGACACTTCAGTGTGAGAAATCGGGGGTGTGGCGTGAGAGCGGGAGAATTGGCTCAATTGTGTGAGTCTCACGCTGAATACGTGAGTGTTGGCAGCCCTAAAACGAACTCTTTCATGTTGCGCTGCATTACTGTCAGTGTTGTTGACTATTACTGACGGTAAGGTTGCACTGTTGATGCTCGCGCAGCCTCTCGAGCAGAAATCTACACACTCACACTCAGTTTACAACATACTGCCTATAAAAATCTAGTTTTTATATTTTTAACATATGTTAAGCAACCTCATTTATTTTTCCTGTACACCATCACGGTTGAAAATGTGACATTGACTTCCTAAAGCAGGCTGTTTTTGTTCTGTTTCAGCAGTGAAAACAGTTTCAAACAAAAATCACAGCAGAACCACGGCGTATCTCACAGGAGCACTCAACCTGTTTTCATTACTGAATTATTCAGCATTTTGAAAGAAAGATTAAATGACCCATTCTTAAACATCTGTCTCATTCTTGAACGAATCAGCCGTTTGAACGAATTGTTTGAATGAATTAATCAACGACTCATTCATTAAGACGGTCGCCTGCCACCACCTGATGGTGGTTTAGTGTTAAATGTTTAAAAGTAGTATCATTCTTTCCAATGTTTCTTATGTAAATTTAAATCAATTTCATAACATTATTTTTTGCAATTGTAAGTTTTCAGTGTAAATGATTTAATTTGATCAGCCCCTAGGGTAACAGCCCTATAGTGTCTTATTATTCGAAATAATTGAATGTATGGGCTCTATGCACGGCGTTATTTCCGGTGAAGCATTAGGGATGCTCGATAACTTCCGCCGATCATAGAGTCCAATGCAATACCGAGAATTTATATTGAATTTTATACTCCATGGTTATACTAATGAAACGTTAGTCACAAAAACAGATAAAACAGACACCCCTCGTTGTGTTTATGCTTTTTTTTTAAATTATATTAAATAAACATAACTATATATAAAATTACATCTAAACGTATGTACGTTTCGTTTCAAAGACGGGAGGACAGTAAATATTGAAGACTCTGCCATAATCCGTTTCCTCCGGTTTTCCTCCGCTTTAATCTACACAACCGGAAATGGACGAGCATCCTTACGTCAAATGCGGAACTTATGCGTGCATATAGCCCATTGATCAAATTTAGGAATTTAAAATGAAAGATGAAGCATACATTTAATAATATTGGGGGAGGGGATGCCCTTTAAAGGTGCAGATATTACAGTATGGTGATTTAAATATCAAAGTTGATTGAACACTGATGAGAATATTGTTTCTTTTTTCCAAACTTTGGAATAGTTTGCCATCATATGTTAGGGATGCTGACTCTGTACATGCTTTTAAAGCACAACTTAAGACATAACTGTTTGCCATGGCTAATTAATCTTAAATATTTTTATGCAACGCATTCTCACCCCAAGGCGTCACCTTTGACCATGCTTCAATATTTGACGTTTTAGGCGCCCTTTAGCGTCACTTACATGACGCGATCCTACAGCGTCATCTAACTGACGCTAAAGGAAAGCGTCACTTAGAGGACGCGGTTAGGTTTAGGTGTGGGGTGGGGGTAGGGTACACGCGATCCTAGGGCGTCATCTAACTGACGCTAAAGGGCGCCTAAAGCGTCAGATATTGAAGCATGTCCAAATGCTTCCCAAGGCGTCAGTTAGGTGACGCCTTGGGAGTGAGAATGGGCTGTTTTATATTATTCTATTTCTATTTTTATGCTACAGTATTACTATTGTAGTATGTCTCTATTTTATTTTACAGTGAGAATGTAAAGCACATTGGTCAACTTGTGTTGTTTTAATAGTGCTATACAAATAAAGATGACATTGACATTGTTTCAGAATTAATTAACACACACAAAATAAAAATAAAAAATCTGTACAGCAACTTTTTTACTGGGACAAGTGAATGACAGATTTACTTTAAACGTATGAAAAGGGTTAGTTCACCCAAAAATGAAAATTCTGTCAGTATTTACTCACCCTCATGTTGTTCCAAACCTCTATGTGTTTATTTGTTCTGCTGAACACAAAGGAAGATATTTGGAAGAATGTTTTAATCAAACAGGTCTCATTCCCCATTGACTACCATTGTATTTTTTCCTACTATGGTAATCAAATAAACACATAGAGGTTTGGAACAACATGAGGGTGAGTAAATACTGACAGAATTT